CACCACCAATCCAACTATAAACCGCAGGGAAGAATGCCTCGCTATCACTCGTGATATGAGTCAGTATATGGAGCACCTATAGAATGCGCTGAGTATGTTGAGAGTTGATTTTGTGCTTGATGCGATTGAAATCTAGGTCTGGTGAATTTTTCTAAAGGAATATTGGAGGTGTTTGACTGATTGGATTGCAGACAGTTTGACCTTTCCAACTCTGAAGAAGGCGAACTGCCGAAACGTCAGATGTTAAATAAAGATTGATGCAACACCCCGTGTTTAGCTTAAAGAAGAAAATCAGGAATTATATTGAAGCATGCCGAGGTTAATAAACAGTCGGTCTTGAGAGGTGCAGAGAGATAAAATAAGGTAAATAAAATTTATTGTTATATTCTATAGCTGCCAGTGATACATGACAAATCGTATGTGTACGCTGGTTGTGTTACGTGACAAATCATAGCATCGGATAATATGACACTTTTATTCGTCTAGGCAAATGAGGAGTGAAATCACTAGTGTGTGACGTGGAGGATAGACTTTATGTTAGAATTGGAGCCTATTGTTTTAGGTAGTCATTACCTAATTACACAATTTGTATTCAATGGATTAACACATGAAGCACTATGGATGGGTGTAGGGCAGTCATTCTTTGCATTCTTAGAAGAAAAAAAAACTTGAATAGATCTATACTACGTTGGCGATTCACTTTCATCAGCCACCATCTAAATAAAATTCGAAACGCGCTTCATTCTTTTTCTACTGTAGATTAGCTGTACTTGGGTCAGTACGAAGATTTGTCATACAGAATCCTATTTTGAACCTTCGTTTTACCCATACCGGGGGCGCGTGCTACCACTACACTACCGAGGCCACCGCTAACCCACCACTCATTTTCTTCAGTATCTCACTATTACAGCTATCAGCCACCAATTGCAACATGTTTGGTCGGGTGAGCACATAGCTATAATAGTGATATATTGAAGAATGAGTGGTGGATGAACGGTGGCCTCGGTGGTGCAGTGGTAACACGCTCCTCGGTATGGGTGAAGCACGGGTTCATTTTCCATCTGAGATCGAGCTCTCGCTTAGCACTCAATTGTCTTAGATGTATTTGAAACATTATAAATTTGCGAAAAGAGCAGTTAAAACACAAGGAATCTTGCGAATTTCTTTAATTTAATCGCTATTAGCAATGCCATATTATTACTAGTATATCCAATGACGTTGGGTGATGCGCAGAACTTTGACGTTTGCATGGACTCGAGCCCTCACTCCACCCTTTTCGAGAGCCCGTGCTTAACCAGTTGTATTAGCGACGCCTGTTTTGCTACTCTTCCTACGCTACAACGCATCTATCTGTAAGCAATCAACCTTCAACGGTTTGGCCTTGCAGTCTACATCGACATTGAACCCAGTCAAAAAAAATTTATCCTTTGAGGAGTCCTCTAGCTAGCCATGTATGATCACTTTTCTTTAGGAAATTTTGCAAATGCTGCAGCGTCTAAAAAACATTTAGATGTATAATAAACAAATTTCAAAGCCACCAAAGAACATTCAGAAAAACATATGACTCTCTATCTAGCGCCAGTTTTAATTTCACCCTTGTTTATAAGGTTTCAGTAAATAAATCGATGTGAGATGCATATGCGTAAGGTATCAGAGCAAAATATCATCCTAAAACATGAAACAAAGCTTACTGAAGAAACAGTATACAGAATATTACTCAAAATATCAAGTTCTGTGCAAAGTAACGCCGTTTTTTGTTTTACCATAGTTTGACGCCTTTCTTTTAAACAGTAGGGTTTGAAAGGTCGTTCCACTTATATACTACTCTTAAGCACAGCTTTCGCCTACACTTATTATTAATTACTTTATGTCTACAAGAAAATTCGTTTGCCATTAAGAATAAATTACGATTTCAACGAGGACAAAAAGACGCTCAGTACATTATTCATTTAAACGTAGAATTTTGCCGCAAAATCATCAGTGATTGCAGAAGATTGTTCCAGAAAAGCTCACAACAGAGATGAAAGCCTTGAAGAGGAGGAAGGAGAGCTGTCATTGTTCATGACCAGCTGAAGACGTTAATAGGATCTAGAACGTCTCCTGAAATTGAATTTCACAGTAAGAGCCGGAAAAATTTATAAATGTGGCGTGGTGAACCAGCCTTGAAGAAACATATTAGTAAAATGATTTGGCATCAACTGCATCCACAGCCAGGAGTTAGTCGTTGTGAAGGTCGTTCTAGGTTTTTTTTTTACTTTTTCCCAATAACAACAACAACTAAATCGTTGATTCCATCGAGGATAAAATAGGTTCTGTACGACAATTTGTGTAGTTCAGTACAAACTTTGCGAAGATCAGATACTGAAACTCTTCTTTAAGTTGATAACAAAAAATACTTTGCAATAATTATCTGGTAAGCTACAAGTCCATGAACGGCGTTAATTAATCTCTTATCCACTGTGGGAAAGAGTACAACCAGCCAGCACGCCTCCAACGATGCGAAATTTGCAAGAATTGGATGAGCCATGTTTGGTGTACTGAAAGACCTCTCGGTGATCGCATACTCCTCTTCCAATCGCTTTAACAGCTGCCATCACGAAAACTGCCTAGCGAGCAAGCCGCTGATGAACATTCATCGGTCAAATTCATGTTCTCTATAAACTAAGAATACCACTGGTATGAGTGATTTGCTCTGGAAAATTGAACTTGCATTTTGTTGGCAAAGACAAGTAGACATCGATGAGTTCCTGCTCAATTGCTAAAGTTTACGATAAGCTGTAAAGTGTACAGGTGGATATGGAGGTTGACAGCAGACATCACTTTTCAAAAACCAAAAATAATCATAAGAATGGTGAAAGATGAGTCAAATTTAAAGCATCAGAAGGTTTCAAACTTACTCTCAGCAGAGGCTTACGTGCTATTTACCGCATCAATCGAGGCCCTTGCTTTGCCTCTTTCTTGCCTATATTTAATCCTTATTGGTGATATCATCAAGCATTCCTTGCAATATTTTTTAGAAAGCACAAAGCAGTGGTCTCAGTTGGCGGAAGCGCGTGAGCCATCGGTATGGGTAATGGTGAGTTCAAAGCCCACCATGGGCTCCTAATTTCGATCTTATCTCAGCATTGTTGTGGCAATATATCACGCCGTACCATACCATGAAGAAGAATAGGCAGCAAATAGCAGTTAGAGTTTGGATTTTTATGGCAGCTTCAAGCTAATTGGATTCCATGCCGGTTTATGCTCGACAGATCAATTTCGTTGAAAGGCGATCGCTAAGAGCAAGAATAGGTTCTGGAGATAGCTAAGAGAACAGCAAAGCAGGAGCCTTTGGGTGAGGTGTATATCATGCAAACCTATGAAAAGCATGGTACTGGATTTAGAGGTCACATATGATTCCAAGTTTTGCTCCTGCTTCTGTATTCTTTCCAGCGTATTTCACCCGTAAAAGACTACGAAGAAGATTGTGCAGTAAATTGAAATCTGAAAACTAATATACTGGTTACCTTTTTCCAAATATCACTAACTAATCATCTATAGTAGCACGTCTATGTCTGTTGTCATGATACTTCCTGTACAACCGCTGATACTCAAGAACTTGCTGCTTTCTCTCCTTACTGAAGATGTTAAAAGCCGGTTAAGTGAGTTATTATACTATTGGCTATAATTCCGAGATAGCCATGTTATGGTGTTCTCAGTTCCTCATCGCAGGCTTTCGTTGGATCAGAGGGAGATTGTTGCTATGCAAAAGGATTTTCCTAAGACGGAATAAATTTCTACGACTACTCGAATAACCAATCGCAAATAATCTGATGTACCCAATGATTATAGCACTGGTTAGGACAATTTTCACACTAAGAAATGTCACGAACTAAGATATAGGTAAGTGAAGTTGTTTCACGGTAATATAACGTTTTCGGAAGAAATGTTTTAGAAGTTGGAGATCGTCTTACCTCACATGATTTTTATGTATTTTTTAGCACTTTATTTGATCCGTCATCTCAGTTTTTTTCACTGTTAGGATACCCAGTACTTCTGGCAATCAATTCGTTTTTCGTGTTCTTCTTGAACGGCGTAGAATAATGGTCAAGCGGGTCTCCTTGCAATCTCGAAGATAGTCTCGTTGTAGCGTTTCATGGGGCGTGTTGTTGACTGCCAGAGCGAAGAGGGGGGTAGAGCACAGCACGCGCGCCGTGACTAATATCACAACCACTCGGCCACGGCGATTGCATTAGCTGTCGTGACTGTCGCGCGGTTGTCGTCATGTCTGGTCGTAGAAAACGAGGCAAAGGACTTGACAAAGGAGGAGCTAAACGCCATTGTAAGGTGCTCCGCGATAATATTCAAGGAATCACCAACTCGGCAATTCGTCGTCGCGCTCGTCGTGGTAGTGAGAAGGGCATTTCAGGGCTGATCTATGAGAACTCGCTCTGTCCTCATGGTCTTCCTCGAGACCGTCATCAGAGATGCTGTCACCTACTGTGAACACGTGAAGAGAAAAATTGTCACTGCCATGGATGTCGTCTACGCTGTCGCTAAAGACGTACGCTATACAGTTTTATGTATTGATTGCACAAAAATCGGTTATAATATTTGAATATATACAGTCTTTCCGACGAAACATACCTATTAAAACTTTTTCGTTTTGATCTCATTCAAAAAGACTAATTGATCTTCGTTCCGTAGCGGGAAAAGCAGTTACGGCTGGACAGCGTGAGCTACATGTAACACAAAAGGCGATAAAGAAAAGGAGAGAGTCTAACTATTACCGACGAATAAAACAGAAATGTGCCTTATAAAACATTTAATTTCTAGTATATTTATTTCATCACTTCTAAAGTACAATGGATAAATTGAATTTATTGAGTTCATGAGATGACAGACATTAATATACAAACAGTAAAGCAGTAACTGTCGCGAAATCTCTTTATTCAACCTCCTTTGGGCTTCAGTATGCTGCTACAGATATACGCAATGATGTTGAGTGATGTGTTAGATATTGGCGTCAACCAGGACTCGAACCTGTGTCTCACCTTTTACAGGCGCACGCTTAACCAATTGCACTACCGACGCCTGTTTTGCCACCAGTCTTTCTACGCTGCTAAGGCTATAACTCTTGGCATGAAATTCTTGTGAATCTATGGCTTCCGTTGCACCTTTCTTGCTTTACTTATTTCTTAAACATAATATACCTTTATTTCGAGTGTTTTATTGAGAGCACGCTCAAATTTCAATAGATCCTTTCATTATTATTTGAGCCAACTTGTCATGTGGTCTGGTAAGGGCTCTTGTACAGCCCGATACACGTGTTTCGTCCTTACAGACTCGTCAGTCGGGCAGAACCCGTCGTCTTTCGATATTTTTATAGCCAGTTCTCTCGGGGGCTCTGCTCCCTTACAGAGAGTTATCGAAGACGAACGTTTTACACTCTATGTCAAGCGAAATTTTCATTTAAAACGGAGTGTTTTTGCGAGTGTAAAACGTTCGTCTTCGATAACTCTCTGTAAGGGAGCAGAGCTCCCTAGAGAACTGGCTATAAAAATATCGAAAGACGACGGGTTCTGCCCGACTGACGAGTCTGTAAGGACGAAACACGTGTATCGGGCTGTACAAAAGCCCTTACCAGACCACATGACAAGTTGGCTCAAATAATAATGAAAGGATCTTAAAGCTAATATTTTGAGAAACTTTACAGAGACGCTGAGAATTTTTGAAACTCATAGGTCCTACATAGAAAAAAATAGTAAAAAGAATTGAATTTAAAAACACATGTGTGATAAAAATCATTGCGTTAAACGTTACATCAGTTTTAATAAGCCCTATTCATCATGAAACTGCTAGATTCTTCTCATCATAGATCTATAAGAACAAATATGAGATCAGAGCTTTTCGACGAACAAAAACTGGCCTTTGTCGGTGTAGATGAACAAGTTTGGTCTATTTAGCATATTCGGAACAAGGCTGGTCTTTCGTTATGTGATGATATTTTCTTCGTTCATAGAGTTGCTGATGATTCAAGTACTCAACATTCTTATAAGAGAGACTTCACTCTGATCCCTTTATGGTAGATAAAAATTTTGGATAATTTTCCTCTACTTCCGATTTGTCTGGATTATAGTATAGGTTGAGAAAAAAGTCTTTCAATCACGCAGCGCATGTCTAAATAATCTTCGAATCATAAAAAATGGCTACCTCAGGGGGACCATAATGATCATTTAGAAAAGAGTTGTCATAGGTGGTGTAGGTAATACACGCCAAATCCAGAGAGTAAGTGGAACAGTCTGGAAGGAGTTCAACAGAAATCGAAGAACAAAAAGAATTGAAGTGTCAATGAGCTTCGATAATTTCTTAGTAAGATGAAAGAGCGCGTTTAACATTTCTGAGAAAAGCAGTGCTGATTCTACTTCCTTTCAGTATATCAAAATGTCAAAGGTGAGGGAACTGGTTGAACCAATGTCGTCTAGCAGACAAAACGGATCGCACCGAATCGCTTTGATACATTACGTTTTGCAGTCCACTAGAGAAGAGACATAAGCATCCATAATATAGTCAGTACTTAGAAGTAGTATTGCATTCAGTATGAAACATCACTAATTTCTTGTCAGTGGTAAAGGTCAGTTGTTGAGACAAATAAAAGCAATGTGTTCAGATTCAAATGACTTGATGAAAATTATTAATACGTGAACAAAGGAATATAGAAAAATCACTCACCTCGTACAGATTTTAGGTAGTAGCAGACATATGAGAGTTATAATCATGAGAATAATTCGATCAAAACAGTGCAAATCAATACGAATGAAATCACACTGGGCGGCGCTCAACGAAATCCCTGGTGACAACAGGATTGAATAGGTTTCGATTGGAGAATCTGAAAAGCCCAAGGACGCACAGATCACTGCAGCTTCTATAATATTCGCGCAAATTGTGAAAAACTTTGAGGTTGTTATTCAACAACACTTCAGGGTTGGGGTTTAATATGGTGTTAAGAATAGCTGATGGAGAGTAAACACTAAAAATTGCTCTGTAAAAGTCAGCTTGCTAATCAATATTGTCATCTAATAAATCCTTGTAGGGAAGTTGTAAACAACCTTATTTCAAACTGTTGAGTGTAGTGGCGAATGAAGAGGTTATACTTTCTTTAAAGATGAGTACTAATGCGTACAAACTACGACAACAATAACATGTTTGGAGCTTTTAATGTAACAATTACTAGAGTGACAATGAGTAAATCACTGAGGTTGCTTGTCTCACAACTTGATAGGAAGGCACCATCCAGACGTCGCATTGTGCAGAAAACTGAATTTGCGAAACAATATAAGAGATCCTGAGGTCACTCGCGATCAGATCTACATTCCCGATCAAGAATCAGTCCGTCATGACGGATTATCAAAAATCTAATGATATTTGTGACATATGTCCTCCCGTATTATATTTATGCAATAACAGAAGTCATTTCTCTCTTTTATACAGAGTCGTTGAAATTTCACATTCTCGCATTTATTATGTGGTGTGTTGGAAGCCGCGAATCCTATACTTTGTTGCAAATTACATTTCATTGAAGGATTGACGATGTTGCAAACCGAAGAAAAATCCAACCATGTAAAACTACCAAACAGATGTTTTCAAAAGTGATCAGAAATGGCAGGAGACGTAAACTACAGTGACCGCACACATTCACGGGAAATTTGGGCAAGATACATGCTGAACACTTCAACATTTTTTTGGATTTAGTGACATCCATGAAGTGAGTAAATCGGTGCGAGATCTCGACAATGGGTAGTTTACCTCAAGTTTACCATGCGAAGCACGAATTGCCCGATCTATGGCGTTTTACACAACGGAAAAATTTTGACTTAACATTGATGATATCAGTGATAACTCGATTATGGTAAGATTATGAACAGCTAAGATGATCACGTTCTTGAACCAAATGATGCGAAGGTAGTATGAATGGATTTATGTTTCCAGCGAAATAAGTATTATCCTTCCATTTGCTGACGATTAGGATGATCAGGTGCGCTGGTAGAGCACTGCTGGAGATAAGAAAATACCATAAAACATTCGCCTGCCTTGAAGAATTGGCATGAAATTCACTGCGCTACTATAGTTAGAAGAGGAGTAGACGAAACTTGAGTCCTACTGCTAGTAGTAGAAGTAGCGTGCAATCATCTTTATAATTGCAGTTTGTCGCCTGCTCAACGCAGAAAGAGATGGACAAATACTTTAAGTTGTTGAACTATAAGTTAGAGCCACAAAGTTCACCTGGGAGAAAGCAAAAGAACTGGTTTATATTTTTGAACTTTCAATTCAGCTTTGGTACCAAAATTTGAGCAACAGAAACATCTTGGTTCATTACCTTTCCGCTCATTCATCACACACAAAAGCGCACATGTGAAAGACATGTTTCGATCAGCTACCAGTGTGTGCACAAGAAAAAAATATAAGGTAGAATCTCTAAGCTTAACGCGAAAAAGAACCATCCCTATTTGCTACAAAATCCTAGGAGCTCCTTAGGTTAGATTCAGAGGAGAATCGACGCTCCCAAACAGAAAGTCTGGCGGGAATAAAATTCCATTCATCCTGCCATGTATTACTAACAAAGTAAGCACATCTATCAAACGCTGTCTGAATGAGCAGGTTTGAATAATTTGATAGCAGTAGTTGAGAGACTCCCAAATATACACTGAAAAGCCAATTGGTCTGTAACCGACTGTATAATGGCCTTTGCCAAACTAAAGACTGTGAAGTTTGTCTAAACGGTAGAACGATGGTATGAAATCCGGTACAATACATCTAATTTCCTGCAAGGCATGTGGGAGCAATACATTGGCGAAACCGGTAAACCCTTCCGTAAGAGCACCTAGCTGGATTCCGCAATTTTGACAAAAAAAACTCCCTTAGGCCCACATAGGGAAGAAAAACATGAAGGAGTAAATTTTGACGTCAAATTCACAATATTCGCACAGGAATTCAAAAACGCGCGCGTAAAACTTTGGAAGTTCTGTGGATAAACTAGTAAAGACCCAAAAATAAATCACAAAGAGAAGTGCCTCGTAATCAATCACGCATGACCTCGCACCAAACCTCAGGCTAATATTACCAGCCTGAATCAGGCACACCTTAAGAGCTTTAAATCTCCTCTAACTCTAACTCTAGACTCTAAGCGGCTGGTCTCCAATGGACAATTTGAAGACCTATAACATCTTAACGCTGAGAATTTTGAAATGAAGCTTTATACTATGAGGTTCAAAATTTGCTCCTCAAGTTTTCTGCCGTGTTATGAAAGTGTTTGACTGAGTGGAGATCCGTTTGACCTTTCCAGGCTCTGAAGAAGAAGGGACTCATCGAAACATTAGCCCCTGTTCTAGTATTTTATTGTTGTATTGTATTACTGTACTGTATCATTGTACTGCATTAGTTACATCTAAAAATACTGTTAATATCATTACGCAACTGCTTGTCAGAAAAAAAAAACTACTGACGACGCATAGTTGATTTAATCATTGTCTGTTCTACCCATGTAAGATGCAAAAATTCTGAAATGTTGAATAAGCAGTCAAAGTAAATCAAGCTCACACGAGAAAAACCTGAAGGGAACTAGTTTCCAATTTTGAACATTCAAGTCCACCTCTCCGAAAGTGGCAACACTACGAAATGGTATTGAAATCCACGCTACAAAGACACAGTGAAACTTTACTCTCTATTCTCATCCCTCAAATACGAAAAAACACTTCTCTGAAACACGTACAGAACAGCTACAAGTGTTTACATGGAATGAGTCACCACACTTGGTACGACAAATAGCCATTTCAGATGATTATGATAAAACAGCCACTATTACCAGGTCAATGCAAACAGAAAGACCCCGTAACGAAAGCAATGGTATTCTAAAGTCAAATGGGAAGATACCTCGGGAATTGCCCGTCATAGCAGACGAAGTAAATCCAGCTATCAAAGACTTTTGAGAAATGGGGGTCTTGAAAACACTGTAGGGATTATAGAAATTTTATCTAGTACATACTATTCGGTTCGAGTGTTTTATTAAGAGTACGCTCAACTTCCAATATGCCTGAA